CTATGCTTCCATCTCTTCGAAATATTGTCATAAGATTGTTGGTGTAAATTTGAAATATGAGAGATAGGAAGAAATAAAACAGAAAATAATAAGTATTGTTTCAAGACGCGTTACAATGTCACTTTCCTTAAGACGATATTCGCCCCCACCAATTCTGTTGAATATGGTGTGCACTGGGTAACTCACGAATCTACCTCTAGGATACAATGAAACCAAATTTAAAGACTAATGTCTAATTGCGTTATGCACGAACGAAATCAGATCCCGAATACATTTGGATTTTTCTAGTCCACTAAGTAAAGAGGAAAATAACAATATGTATCATTGAGAGAAATTCCATGGAAAAATAAATATCCAATTGTCAACCTATTCTGCCTTTATATAGGCATGAATTTGTACCTTAAATCAAATTGCATGTCCTTTAGATTCAAAAGTGACACTTTTTAAATCTAAGAGTAATGTCTTTTGATTTAAATCCAATGGTTACCCTCCATGATTTAAATCCAATGGTTACCCTCCATGATTTAAATCCAAAAGACACATTATTTTGTTTAAACTCAATAGTTACACCTTTTGATTTAAACTCAAAAGTCACATCTTTTTAATAATTTATATAACTATATTACACATTTAAATATCTATAAATATATTATGAAAATGATCCAACAAAGATGTGAGTTTCACTATATAAAAACTGAATTTCGTCCATATATAAACTATCTGCATATATTTGTGTGCATAGATTATGTGCATGTAATCAGGGGCGGAGTCATGTTGGGCTAGAGGGGTCACGTGGCCCGCCAGTGTTTTAGGAATTTTTTTTTTTTAAAAAAAAAATGTGTGGGTGAAAATCTGACCACACTACATGCTTAATAACCAGCTGGAGAGCACAGGCAGAATAAATGGCTTCAGTAACCTGTAACAGAAAGAAAAGGCTCCGGCGGTGGTTCTTCCACCCGGGGGCACTCCGACGATCAAGTCAGTATATCTCTCAAAGATAATCAAGTGCAAAACTTAATACTCAAAACATAAATTGCATACCTTCGACCCACGGGGGTGCCTCTCTTTTATAATATATTCAATCCAAGTCCTACTAGAAGTATGACTTCTATGAACTCCAATTTAGTGCTTACTTTGGACTCTTTAAGAGATAAAGATAAACTCCCTAAGAGTTTTATCCTTATCTTGGTTAAGTCCTCTCTTCGTCTTAGGACTCTTGTCTATTATTCGTTTATCTCGGATTCCGATATCTTCGGAGTTAACCTCGGCCTCGCCGAGATGATCTCGGCATCACGACCAGGACACGTGGCACCTCGGCTGACACGTCGGCGTCACCATGCCACGTGTTGGTATTCAGAAAATATATCCCCACAAAAAACATAAAGAAAATATATTAAATAAAAATATTATAAAAATATTATTTAAAGTGAAATGTTAATGACATTTTTAAAATTATGAAAACAATAATGATTATTTTGATTGAAAATAAAGAGGCTATAATAAGTCATATTATTATCTATAAAAATTTTAATATAATGGTGATGTCTATCAATATTGACATGCAAACATAATAAATTTCAATGAAGATATAGAATTTATTGGATTATTAGTTACATTTGACATGTGGAGTTTATTCTTCATGTGTTTCTTTCCATTCATAACTAAAATGACCACTATATAAATTATAATCAAGCAACACATCTTCAATTATAAAAAAAAAAAAAAAAATTACAATAGGTCATAACTAATATCAGAATAAGTCATAACTAACTATTACTTTATATATAGTCATAACAAAATAACAACCACAAGAAGTTATAACTAAATTATGTCTAACACTATAATGTGTTATAACTAAAGACTATGAAGATCATAATTGCGACATATGATAGACACTTTTTTTGCGGTATATTTTATAGAATTTCTCTATTAAAATATATCATTCCTATCTCAACGTATCTTCTTTTTTAATTTTCCAATCCACCTATAAAATAGTTACTCCCCAAAATTTGTATAAAATTTAATCTCAAATCCTTTAATTTAAAATTCACATTTATCCAAATAAACTCTTAACATTTAAGTTTAGTAATATCTCATTGTTGTTTATTATTAAAAAAAATTAATCAGTATGTTTGGTTTGAGTTTTTTGGATTAAGTTTTTTGAAAATTGAGTTTTTTTATTTTGCGTATTTTTTTGTTTTTAGTAAATATTTTTTAACTTTTAAACATTTTTTTTTACTTTTTTAAATGCACCTTACTTAGATGTATCTAAAAAGTAAAAAATTTGTGAAAAAATATTTTTAAAAATTAATAAATACATAAAAATATAAAAAAATGTATTGAATTCTTGTATTTTTTTTATATTTTTAGTATTTAGTGAATTTTTAAAAGGTTTTTTCACAATTTTTTTACTTTTTAGGTATATTTATGTATGTATGCCTAAAAAGTAAAAAAAAAAAACTCTTAAAATATTAAAAAAAAAAGTAAAAATAAAAAAACACTGAAAACAAAAGAGTAAAATTTTCTGAAAAGTATTTTTAAAAAAATGGAATCAAATTATCATTAATTTGTGCCTCTCTACACTGAATTTCTGATTACGCCACTGAACGTAATATATTATAAGTACTCGATAACTTATTTTAATACAGACTTTGTTCACGTCGAATCAATTTATCCTGTGTCAGTGAACCCATCAAGACAATGAGGATTTAAGGGCCTGGCATGTTGAAAGGCCAATTAGGTACCACTTGACCCACAAAGCCCTAGTGATCTTGAACTAAATTGGAAAAGGTTCTTTCTAACAATACTGAAAGTTTAATTGGGCTAAGAAAATGAATAGGCATTACTAAAAAAAAATGAACTTCTCATTTCATTATATCCGTAATAAAATGAGCAAGTATAAATAATTGCAAGAGATAATTCCACAAAACCTCGTTAATAAGTCAAGAAAGTTAGGTTACAGCCAAGCAAGACATATGGTTAATTGGCGACTTGAGTTAAAGCACTTTTTTTTTTGTTGATAAAAAATAAAATACCCAAATCACATTATTTTTAGAGAGAGAAAGTGAGAATTTTTTTTTTTTTTTTGGTTTTCAATTATTGTGTTTTGAGCGTAGGATTCACCACACTTCTCAATTTGAGTACAAGATTCATGGTTGGGCCAGTGATTTTTTGTATAAGAAAACTAGTGGTGATATCAGTGGATGGTGATTCTTGTTTGGGGAAGACGTTGTTTGGTTTGTATTTCTTAAAAAATTTTAGGAAAAATTTTTTACAAATAAGTTTTTAAAAGTAATCAAACCAAACAAATTTTTCGAATTTTTTTTTCCAAAACTTGTTTGGTTTACAAGTTTTCCAAACAAATATTTCTCTCATACACATCAAATCAATCACTTTTTTTAAAACTCTCTTTCAAAATAATTTTTCAAAACATCTTTTGAAAAAAAATCAAACCAAACAAATTTTCGCACTTTTTATCTCAAAATATATTTCTCAAATACAAACCAAACAAGCCCGACATATTGTGATGGGGTTGGGGTAGGTGGGGAATGGAAAGTTTGGATTCAAAGTCAACTTTACTATTTTTTAAAATATAGCAACAAATTCTATTAATTGGCTTTAACGGTGGACTAAAAAAAAAATAATAATAAAAAAAATAAAAATAAAAATGTGTGTGTTTGGTTTGAGTTTTTTTTTTTTTTTTAGTTTTAAAAAATTTAAGCATTTTTTTTTACTTTTTTAAATGCACATTACTTAGATGTATCTAAAAAGTAAAAAATTTGTGAAATAATATTTTAAAAAATTAATAAATACATAAAAATATGAAAAATATACTAAATTCTCATATTTTTTTTGTATTTTGGTATTTAGTGAATTTTTAAAATATTTTTTTTCGCAAAAATTATACTTTTTATGTGTATTTATGTTATGTGTATCTAAAAATTAAAAAAAAAATGCTTAAAATATTTTTAAAAAATCAGTAAAAACGAAAAAAAAAACACAGAAAACAAGAAAGTAGAATTTTCTAAAACATGTTTTTAAAAAACTAAAAATAAGTCAATGTAAAATTTTAGAGGGCGATATGTATTTCGGGGGACAGCCTAGTTTAATTGGTTGGACACTGGATTTGTTAAGCTACTTTTAATTATATAAAGGAGAAACATTTATTCCTGTTGAAGGGAATGTTTTCATGTCCTTTTTCCCGGGAAATCTTATGGTTTGGAGTATAAAATTTTGCTAGGAATATTCACTATTACTAATAATTTGACACAATAAATTGAACATGGGAAGTTCCCCAACTTCCTTGATCTCAATTGGTTGATGGATAATTAACATTTCCACAAAGTCAACTACTTTTGAGCTACCCAAATCTAGTGCTGAGTAATTATTTAGGGCTTGTTTGGAAGTGAATTTTTTTTTGGTAGCTTTTTAGTTAACATATGAGGTGAAAAGAATTGAAATGTTTGGAAATAAATTTTTGATTTTAAAAGAAGAAAAACGTTCAAAAAGTAGAAAGAATGTTTGACCTTTTTATATGATTTTTAGTTTTTTTAGTAACTTTTTGACTATTTTTTCATCTTCTCAAATGATCCCTTAGTCTTTTCAAAATATCATGTTGACTGTGTATCTTATGTATTTACATGACCTACAAAAATAAATATAATTGGGTTAAATCACAAAATATCATTGATACTATGCGATTTTAAAAAAGGTTGAATAACTTTTGTTTGTGTTGGGACGAGACAAAAGTATTTGATTTACTACGATGATGACATTCAATCGTAATACTCATTCTTATGTTTAATTTGATAAAAATGAAACAAATTTTTTTTGAAAATAGAATCAATATTTACCAATTTAAAAGAAAAATCTTTTCATTTAATTGTGACCAAACATTGAAATGTGAGTCATATAAATTAATAATTGCAATTGTACGTTATAATCTATCCAATCAAATAGATCGTAAAAGAAATGGTTTCCAATGCCTCCTCTGCAGCAACAAAGCATCCCATCTTTATTTTCAAATAAATGCAAAGTAGATGTGTCAACAAAACTACATCATATACACACATTAATGTTTATTAAGTACATGAACATCTTGGCTAAAACTCATACATAACCTTAACAGCCAAGACTCACTTTGTTCAACATGTACCTCCCTCTAGCAAGTCAAATGCCAGAGTTTTGTAAAATGTACAGTATATACATGACTCATCACAAGTGACAAGTTAAATTCACTTTTAATTTCTATATAACTATTGACTTAATCATATATCTAAAAAATCATAAATGACCCAATTATTCCAACTCTTATTATTCTAGGACCGGTATATAATGTCCTGGTTGAAATGGATCTTGCAAAATTGTCGAAAATTCTGATCAAATCCAAGATTGAATTGAGTAGTTGCATTTGAAGGAATTGACACCACTGATATGAGCAAAGATATCTGATGAATCGACCATGTATTCTTCTTCTTTCACAACCACCTGCAGAGACTGGAGAGCAAAATGAACTAGACTTGCAATTGATATCGTTTTCAAGAACCGTTTTCTGTTCTAAAAGATATTTAAAATGCAGAATGAAAGGAAGATTTTTTTTTTTTTTTTTCAAAAAACACCCATTTTGGAGAAAAACCTTTTAAGTTGTTTTCTAAAATTTGGAAAAACTGTTTTTTTAAGAAAATAAAAATGAAGGGTATATTTGAATTTATTGATTGTTTTTATTTCTTAAAACACAGAAAATGAAAACATAAAAAACCAAACCAAACAAAACAGAGAACAAGCCAAGTAGAACAATTTCCATTATGGAAGGAGCTAGCTGCTGGGACTGGGGAGAAATGTGAAATCATTGTAGACTAGGATGCATGTTTGGTATTGTTTTCAAGAACTGTGTGATGTTCTAAAAGATTTTTTTTTTTTAAAAGGAGAATGAAAGGTTTTTATTATTATTACTATTATTATTATTTTCCCATATCAGAAAACACCCATTGTCAGAAAGCCCATTTAAGGTGCTTTATAAGTTTTTGAAAAACTATAATGTTTGCACGAAAAAAGCAATGATGGGTATTTTTGAACTTAATAGATTGTTTTTATTTCTGAAAACACGAAAAATAAAAACATCAAAAAGCATACCAAACAGGCCAATTAGAACAGTTATCACATTATATTCTGCTATGTGAATTGTATGTAAAGTTCATAAATATGTGAGTGAGAACTTACATCTTCATCAGTGTCCTCTTCATGATTGCTATAACCTCCTTCTCTTGGTGTCTCACAGAATTCATCGTTCTTAGCAAACCTTCCTCTAACTCGAGGCCTGCTGTCTGCCAGTGTTTTGCGGCAGGCATACTGCACGTTGGATTTCAATTTTCGTAAGCAATTGAATGTTCAAACCACCAATTTTGGCTAAAATGTATGTAGCTAAGGGTATGTTTGCATTTTATGTATGTCTACAGAGATCGAAGTAATGGCAATGTTGTGAACACAAAGAATCATTGAACATGTAGCTACTAGGTTGGATTTTTGTAACTTGGTCTCAATTTGTTTTTCATAGAACAATTGTAACAAGGCATGCCTAGACACTAAATGATAATATTCACCATAATAAGGATATATATGTGTATGTGTCTATGTGTGTAAGTACACGTGCACTGGCATAATTGAAAGCAAACTTTTGCGCACATGTATAGTAATCCTACATACCGAGAAAGTTTTTATAAAAAATCATACAGACTAAAGTGTGGCAGCATTGCATTCATTCTGATAGAGTGTAAATCCTATCTAAAATAAATACAATGTTATCAGTGCAACATTCTGGATACTTTTATAGATCTGTTTTGTTTTTTTTTACGCAACTTATGTCATACTATAAACATATGCATCATATGTACAAACACATATATATGTGGATGTAGAGAGAGAGAGAGAGAGAGTACCTTTATTTTCTTGCTAAAATTCCTCTCATTCCTTTTCTTCATGTATCTATGTATCTTCTTCTTCCTATCTTCAGGTGAGAGTTTGCCAACCTTGAATGTTGAATCCTCCAAACTTGAGATATCAGAAGCCAAAGGAGTTGAACTCCCACCACCATTCACACCTTGTTGACTCTCATTACTAAGTGCCTTTTCAAACAATTATCATCATGAACAAGTACAAAAAAAAAAAAAAAAAAAAACATCAAAATATTTCTGTATTTACCAACAACAAAAAAAGACACCAACAATCACAGTCCTAAAATAAAAAATCCCACAAAATTAAAATAATAAAAAAAAAGACAAATTCTGCTCAAAATCACCTTGATTGATCTTTCTAATTTTTCATTTCGATTGCTTTTTGAAGCTTATTTATTCCAAAATTTATTTATTTCACAAGAATTCTATTGAATCTCAAAAACACAATCAAAATGTTTGGTTAGGTGCCAAAGATGCGAACTAAAAAATTCATTTATTTTTTTTAATGAACGTGAGAAGGGTTCAAGGCACGGATTGTTGGTACTAGTACCTGCAGCTCACTAGGGTTGTAAATCCTTGGCAGAGTGTCGGGGCAGAAAATTCCACCGTCAATATCTCCCTCAAATTCCAATTCTTGACTCTGCAAATCACTGCAATTATACATACTTCCACTGAAAACACCAGAACTATCTCCAGACAACACGGTGCTCAAATTTCCTGACAAGTGTGGTCCTATTGAGTGCTCAATGAAAGAGCAAGGCGGCGAAGAAGAGCTCAAAGGCATGTAAGAAGGCATCAAAGACAAGCATTCCTCTTCAAAAACCGAAGGCAGTGGAGGGCCCATGAGAGGGACTATAACAGGCTCAGAAGGGTACTGTGAAAGCCCATGAGGGGCGGTTTCTGATAACGAAGTTTGGGATTGCAGAGAAGACAGATCAAACTGGTCTTCTTGGGAAATGAGGAAAGGTGGGACTAAAAATGGAGTTGATGGGGTGAAATTTATGGATGCTGAAATGTCATTCTGATCGATTTCTTCTGTGGAGTCGAAGATTCTGGAGAGGTTATTAATGTTAATAGTGGTGGTGGCGCTGGAGGTGGTGACATTTTTTTCTATGGTGTTATTAGGAGGGTTGTTTATGTCAGGATCAAAGGGAAGATTTGTGGTGGCGTATGAAGAGTTCTCTTCATAGCAACAATTATTAGGACTAGAAGTAACTTCAGAGTTTTGAAGTGCTTCTGGGAATAATTCAGGATCATATAATTCAAAAAATTGAGCACTCAACGGGCTCGAAAAGTCTTCCTGCAAAAGAAAAAAAAGACAACTAAATCATGAAATTTCATCTATATATGCGTGTGTATATTTGCTATGACAATACTAAAGATCAACTATTATTCTTGAAAAATAAAAATAAAAACTTTTGTAAGTAAAACCACCACCATGACCTTTTCTTGTAGCAAATGTGTGGCATGGTTCTTCATATTTTAGGTGTACTCTTATGGTACTGCTCTTGAAGATTTATGATTTTATAAGAAAACCAAGTAACTAACACATGTTCCCTAGCTAGCTAAAGTACTGATTTTTTTTTTTATGAATTAAGCATATATGAATCACTTTTATTTATATAATATAATATATATGCATATGTATATCAAGGCGAATTATACTCGTGATCTTTCTAATTTATATCTTGTATCAATTTGGTTCTTATAGTTCTAATTATATTATTTTTGTCAATTTAGTTAAATTGATAATATTCGTTAAGAAATTTTAAACAAAAAAAAATCAAGGAGAAAACGGTCTATTTAAAGGGGAATAATTTATTTCAAATTAAACGTCAATCCTTTAATCAGTTTGAGAAGAGTGAATAAACTATTTTGCCCATTAAATTTAGTCTAATTTTTCAAAGGATGTTTCCAATTGGACTAAAATACAGTATAAAAAATACAAGGACAAAATTGATGCAGTTAGAACTATAAAGATTATATTGACGCAAAAAGTAAACAACATAAAATTCAAGTGTAATTTGTCCTATATAATCCATTTGTGATATTAGGAATCTCCTAAAAATATGTGAAGGGCTGCAAAACGAAGAACACTACCTGAGCTTGATTTGTATTAAACTCGTTAAAAATATATAAATTGGATTATTATGTAAACAAATCAAATTAACAAATAAAAAAAATTAAAACTCATTAATCTTCCAAGCTTAGGTCAATGAACTTATTCTATACAACATATAAAAAACCATACGACTCAAATTAACTTAGATGTGATTGGCTCGATTAAAATTCTTTTAAGGTTGACTCTAAAATTAAATAAGTAAACTTTCAACTCTTCTTAAAACTTGTTAAATTTTTAAATCAAACTTGAACACACTATTCAACTCAACTCTTCTCATTTAAAACCCTAATTATGATTTGAAAATTTAACCATGCTTTACATACACTACTTACACTTCAACATATAAGCATTTTAGAGACAGTCACCTTGATTGTTTCCACTTTTCAGAAAACACTTTTCAGAAAATTTTATTTTTTTATTTTTCATATTTTTTTTTGTTTTTATTGAATTTTTTTAATATTTTCAGCAATTTTTTTTTACTTTTTTGACACACCTAATATAAATACACCTAAAAATTAAAAAAATTGTAAAAAAAATCTTTAAAAAATTCACTAAATACCAAAAATACAAGAATTCAGTACATTTTTTGTATTTTTATGTATTTATAATTTTTTTAAATATTTTTTCACAAATTTTTTACTTTTTAGATACATCTAAGTAAGGTGCATCTAAAAAAGTAAAAAAAATGTGTAAAATTTAAAAAATATTTACTAAAAACAAAAAGACACGAAAATAAAAAAAGTCAGTTTTCAAAAAACTTAATTCAGAAAACTCAAACCAAACACACTGAGTTTTTTTTTTTTTCTCTAAAAATATAAATTTTGTTGCAAAAAATATTTAGAGTCTAATCTCAGTTGTCACGAGGATAGTCACTAAAAAGTTGTTCCGAAAAGTCAAAAAATATTTTTTTAAGAATAAAATTTTGGAAATGTAGCTAATAAATACACTTTTTGTCATAACAAAAGTTTATTTTTTGAGACAAAACTTTTGATCCCAAAAGGTTAGTAATTCATTACTAAATATCACATTTTGCTACAAAAAATAAAATTATAACACTTATGGCGACAAAAATAGTTCATTTTGCTACAAAAAATAAAATTATAACACTTATGGCGACAAAAATAGTTCACTTTTACTGTGCAAAGTAGAGAAAGATGTGTAGATATTTGTTGTCCATGTGGGATGTAGGTGCTAAAATACCCAATAAGAACAAAAGTTCAACAAACATTGGCAAAGAAGGAAGTTCATTGTATATCAATAGTGTGCAAGATTTAGAAATATCCCAAGATTGGATAGACAATTAGAATTTAATGTCACAGAGAACCCTCCATAAGGTCATGCATGTGAAGTGCTGCCATTAGGTTCCTCCATCAAAAAATAACTGAATAAAAGAATCAATATTAGAAAACTCAAACATTAAGCATGAAAAAAATCTAAATATTCCACAAAAATCTAAAGGAAATTAACCATTAGGAGGAATTCATGATTAGGTTAGTGCAGGAGATGACAGTAGCTATTGTAAATTGACACTTTGGTGGGAGCATAACTTTACTTAAAATTAAAATTATTGTTATTATTATTGGCAATGAAAAGAAATATACCTAAGAATCAACACATGAGAGTGGCAACACACATTTAGTAAACTTTTGTTCCACAAGAAAGAATGAGAAAAACCAAAACACTAGGAAAAATTATTGTTCTACTCCACTTTGAGACAAAATTAAGTGAGTCTCTATTTCCACGTAGTATTTTTTTTTTGTTCAATTCACACACAGTGAAGCTTCTTTTAATTAAATTTTATCTTAAAATAAAACAAAATGCTCTTTTTTTTCTTTTTTTTTTTCCATCCCAAACCCTAATTCACAAACCACCACAGCCACCTACCCGCACCCAACTACATGCACAATCGCTCACCACCCCATGGACATCTCCTGCCATCATCATCCATTTCCCATCCTTCTCCCACTGCGTCGCTGGCCTCCTCAATCCCTAACCACACTCTTCCTCATTGTTTGGACTACTAGCCCTAAACCAATCACTGTATTGTTCAAATATCAACCATTGAACCAATAGTGTTTGTTTAGATATCAATTATTGAACCAATAATATTTACTTAGAAAACTGCCGTTGAATAGATCTGGTATTCTAGTGGTGGCTGATATGGCAACTTTCTAATACTTGAGCATGTCACGTATACGAGAGAGAAGGGAAAGAAAGGCAACAATGGAGGGTAGAAGTGAAGGAGGTGAGAAGGGTGGAAGGAACGCGAGTGGTGGATGGGATTACAGGGTTAGGGTTTGAAGGTTGAAGAAGGTGGGTATATTTTTAACATAGAAAATGATATACAAATTTATTTATTAGACTTACTTTTTAGACCCAGTAATGTGTAAAAGAGGTGTTTGGTTAATTATTAGAGAATATGTGAGATAGAGAGTTGCTTTAGATATTATAAGAAACTATCTAATCATTATGTTTGAAAAATTGATCTAATTTTTGAGTCTGAGTAGCACTACTCTTTTACGATAGTGGGAAACAAAAAAATTCAAAATTATTTAGCTGTAGGAGATAAAATACCCAATAAGAACGAAAGTTCAACAAACATTGGCAAAATAGGAAGTTATGGTGTACCAATAGTGTGCAATATTTAGCCAAGATTAGATAGACAACAAGAATTTAATATCACAGAGAATCCTCCATAATGTCATGCATGTGAAGTGCTGCCATTAGGTTCCTCCATCAAAAACTAACTGAATAAAAGAATCAATATTAGAAACCCCAAGCATTAAGCATGGAAAAAGCTAAATATATTCCACAAAATCTAAAGGAAATTAAGCATTAGGGGAATTCATGATTAGGTCAATGTAGGAGATGAAAGTTGATATTGTAAATTGACACTTTGGTGGGCAATCTTCAGATACAAGATTAAAATATCTTCTCAAAGGTGTCCCATGGGATCAGAACTTTACCTAAGAGGAAAACGAATTTGTTCACATAATACACACAATTTCATTGATTCAAAATTGTGAATTTCATATTCAAAAAAGTGTATTAATTCCACTTAAACTTGTGGATCCAATCAAAATATGTGTTTTGTTCACACGTCTTGTCAAGTGCGAATTAAATGGACTCTACCTATGAGTAGAACTTTACCTAATTTTTTCTTCTTCTTCTAACCACTAATGAAAAGAAATATACCTAAGAATCAATACATGAAAGTGGCAATAAAATTGTACTATACTATATTTATAGCTAGAAGAGAAAATGAGAGGAAAAAAAAATACTATGTGAATCTTTTTTTTAATAAAATTTTATTTAAAAATAAAATTAGTAAAATATCATTATCTTCTTCATCCAAACCCTAATCCAAACCACCACGACCTCCTTTTACCACCCCAATTATACCCACAATCGCCTATCACTACATCATCCACACTCACAAACATTGACCACCACCCCATCGCTCTCTCTTGCCATTGTCATCCCTCTTCCACCCTCTGGAATCACCAGCTTCCCACAAATCCTAACTACTTGAACTATTAACACCGAACAAATCATAGTCGTTCAGATATCAACTAGCAAACCAATAGCATTTGTTTGAATACCAAACTATCGAACCAATGATGTCTGCTCAGAAAACTACCACTAAATAGATCTAGCATCCTGGTGGTAATTGATATGGCAATGATCTAATGGCTTAAGCATGTCGCATATAAGAGAGAGAATGTGGAAGGTAGAAGGTGGTGGTGGAGGGCAAAGGTGACGGAGGTGGCAAGGGGTGGGAGAGAGGCCAGTGGTGGCCAGAATTGCCAGAATGATGTTGGCCAATGGTGGCTAGGGTTAAGGTTAAGCTTTAAAGGTTGAAAAACGTGAGGGCATTTTTGAGATGGTAGGTTTGTATTAAGCTAAACATCAAATTTCAAGATCATTTCAAATTTCTCTTTTGCCGATCAAAAAAAAAAAAAAAAAATTTCAAGATCATTTAGTGTGTGTATGAGAGAAGATATCTATTGAGAATTTTTAGTGTGTGAAAATCAAATCAATCTAAACTTAACTAGTGGGGCAAATTGTTCCACTTGCACCATTTTTTTCGATTTCTTTTTTTCACATGTAAGTACTTTTTTTAAAAATAATAAATAAATAAATCTAGAGGGAAATTGCCCTCACTAGTCCCTATGTCAGTTCGCCTTCAACACATTCTCATTGATACTATCTAGGAACCCAACTTAGCCTAAGCTGAGCATGAAGCTTTAGAAATTTTATCATTGACCATGAAATTTGCATTCCAAGTTTGAGGGTGTGAAAACTCATTTTTCTTCTTCAAACATGTTGGTTTAGAAGGTGAAATGCAAGGACAAATGTGGTTTCTTTTCAAAATATTACAATGACTTGCTTAAAAGCACGTTAGTGTTACAAATTGAAGTGTAAACTTTTTAATTTTAAAAAAAAAAAATTCCAAAAACATCAAAAAAAATAAAAATAAAGTGACATTAACAATAACAAGACATTAAAAAAACATTAAATGAAGAATTTGGAAACGAAAATAACAAAAACCACACACATCCTAAAAGAAATAAAAGATATGCACAAAAATGGGTGAATTTATCAGTCAAATCGAGCTCATTAGGAGACTTACGCCATAAAAGTGTAAAAATTCTTAATACTATAAGGTCATGTTTGATTCATAAGATTAATAGTGAAGTATTAATAATCCTATTAAATTAGTGTGGTATTCACTATCCAATTGGATTAATATCCATTGGATTAATAATCTCACCCCTACCCCATTACTAATAATCCTACAAATTTGTTGGATTAATTATCCATTGGATTAATAATCCTAAATCAAAATGTTAAAACAAACATAAGATAATTGGGCCCACGGATTAATAATCCCAATCCTATACTCTAATCCACTCAATCAAACATGCTCTAAAATTAAAAGGAGAATAAAACAAGTTTAACATGCATGCACATAAACTTGGACATAGCATGAATTAAGTAATTGTAACTAACATGCATGAAAATGAACTCTTTTTCTTTATTTTGTTGGGACATGAACATGTATGAATATAACCTTAGAAAAGCTTTAGAGTTCAGAACATTACAATAAGAAGTTGTTCTCGAGGATTAACTACGTCTCGCAACATCATTATTCCTCTCAAAGAACCTTTAATCTCTATATGTATCCTAGTTACTCCCTAACACAAACATAACATAGCTTCTCATCAATACCACCATTTCTTAGCTCTAAATCTAAATGCATGAGTGAAACCAATGAATGAAAAAACTCCATAAGAATGGAGACATTTAGAGAGAAAATGAGCAAAAGTTTTCGAAAGAGAGGGAGAGAGAGATGAAAGACTAAATTTGTCTTAAAGGACAAGAAGTACGTTACATATTGGGACTCATAGGGCAAATCCGAGAGTTTCGTTGGACCATTCATTCACTTTGTGCCAGCATGGTAACTCTAACTTGCCCACTAGAGAAGTGACATGTGGAGGGTGATCCTAAGTGGCACACTGTTGACATGGCAAGTCCAATATGATGTTGGACTTTTAATTGGAATATCGTTGCTTGGTATAACTTCTATAGCAAGAGGTTGAGTGGACCAAGCCCCAACCCTATTAATTGCCTATTTTTTAGAGGCCGTACTACGTACATTGTGGGACGAAAGAGTACGTTTTTAGAAAAATGAAAAATTAGATTGTAAAACCCCTAAACTTAGCCAATCAAGTTGACTTTCTCACATTCTTTTGACACAGAAATAATGTGAAGGTCAATATATTAGAATTGAGGAGTTTTCACTTTCTTTAATCCGATTCGTCTCTCTTGAAGCCATTGGCTCTTTGTGTTTGGCTTTAGTCTATCCCCTATATCTTAACCTCAAAAAAGATAATGTCAAAATTATCCTCCACTACGAAGGCCATTGGCATTTTAGATCAAAATTGAATCTTTTTTTTTTTAAATAAAAAAAAAAACTTTCTTCTTTCGATTATTTTATTTTTCAAGTGAATTAAAGCTCCAAAAAGCTTTTTGTTATTGCATGCCTTTGTGGGGACCCATTGTCAATGATGGTAACAATTTTTTAAAATGTTGTGATTAGAGGCATTTTTTGTCATATTTAATATTATCTCTTTTCTTTATTACTTGTGATTTGTTCTCGTGGATCAGATCTTGTAAATATGACTATAGCTCGACTTTTTCGTGCCCCCTTTCGAAAATTGAATAAACTCCACAGTATCGGACTCCTGCGGTTCTGAATCTGATTCCACAAGTGCAAATGCGAAATAGATAATCACCAAAAAGTCCCAATCCAGCAAATCTTTTTGGAAAATCGATTTTGAATCAAATTGCCAAAAATGGACTGTTTTGCCAGATACAGAGTTGCCACCTAAATATTTTTTGGGAAAATTTAGGAAACCCATGACTCGTGCTAAAGGCCACGTGTACGTCATCACCAAGATTGTCTCAGCTCGGGAACTTTGGTGCGAGAGGAAAAGGTCATGAATTGAGCACCTCCGCTTGCCCGATCAAAGATAGGCCTCCACTAATCATGATATGAATCTTATTTACATTATATGCTCTTATTCCGGTTATTAGGCTAACATTACTATGTGATGCGTACACACACAAGTATAGACTAAATCGCAAGAATTGGAACATTTCGATTCATGTTTGTTTTGAAAATTGTTTCGAATATGTACCACTTGAAAAAGTGATCGCATATAAACATTATTCAAATTATCTCAATTCAAGCAACTAGCCTTCATCTACAGGCATTCAAGCAGTTTAGCACTTAAGCAATTAGCCTCATGGTAAGCATGCTAGACATGGCAACACTCACACTCATGCGATATGCTAAAGCGAGTAAAGGCTCACCTAGTATTTTAAGCCAAAAAAAGGTAAAAGAGTTAGAAAAATGCATGATCCCTAACTATGTAATATGACTAATGCAACACATGAGATATGTAATTACTAGGCTCGACTACTAATATGGCACATGAATTGATTTGATAACATGCGGTCTAAGCACGTATTCAAAGAAGTATTTCAAAGGCAATGTAAGTTAGAATGATGAGCCGAGCCTCAGTGCATGCAATACAAGTGGATCCAAACATGAGGCATGCTAAACAAAATATGATGTCCTAAAACTAACCAACATAAGCAGGTAAATAAAAGGAAGAAAGATGTGGGATTGGAAGACATACACATTATTACAACATTGCACTCTCACGAAGGAGAGTCCGAATGAACTAACTAGCTAACTAAGCTAATTAAAGCTAAGCTAATTAACTAACTATTACAAAACAAATGAAATTAGCTAAACTACTTAACTAATTATTACAACAACAAATGAATTAATTAACTAACTATTGTAGTAAATCAAATTGAAACCTACACCTAATTAATTATAACAAATATTTAAGCTAAATATTTAAACTAAACAAGCTCGATATATGAGAAATGCTCATGCACGTGCTCGGTTTCCACCCGAAAAGGCAACTGTTTTGCTTCCAAAAGGCCTCTGTCGCACAGTAGAACACTTATACTTTTGTCTACCTCCAGAATAGCTCTGCTCTTCTAAAAAAACACACTGCTAGATTTTGCATTGGTGGCCGGCCAGCCTAGAGTGAGGGCCTGCCGGCCACCAAAGGTGGCCTGCTAGCCATTGCTGCAGGGTTCATCTTGCTACAACAGAGAACAAACAAAGCATACACAGGGTATTCTCAAGGGTTGTCTGCACAACTCACCCCTCTTTATCATGAACAAATCAAAGGAGGGACAAAACTTGGTCCACAAACCACCAACTCAAGCAATTTCATTGCATGATGGCTTATGAACCAAAATGTGCAAGTTCAATAAATACAACAAAACAAGACTCAAACCTCTTCCCTTTCATGAATTGATCAAGGGAAGTGGTGACCTTGGAAACTTGAACCATTTCATCACTAATGAGTATGAAATTCCTCAAGCTTCCATGTGTTCAATTAACGTCCGATTGAACACAAAACCAATTACTATCTTGCACCATTTTAGTCCCATTTTAATTACCAACCATCCTTTAATTCATTGAGTCCAATGGTGAGTTTAAGTCCTCTAATGGAAAGAGGGCTCAAACCAAGTGTTGTTTTAGGCATGAAAAATACATCATACCGTTGGTAATGAACCCCAAAGGAATTAAACCATTAAGCATGATATCTCAATCTCATGCTTAAACAAACAAGTTGTTTGAAACCATTTTCAAAGCAAAACAAAAGCCAAGAAAGGAGGGAGGTTACAGAGATGATTAAGAGTGATTACAAGTATGGAAAGCCATAAATGAACACAATCAACTCAAATAAGATGGTGTCTAAGGCCTAAAACACCAAACTCATGAGGACAATTACACTACAAGCATGCAAAACAAAGCTCAAATATAACAAACACTTAAAGACAGTCCTAAAACAGTCTAAAAATAGTCCTCAAACATGCTGGAATTAAGACAAAAATAGCTTAGATTAATATGCTAAAACATGAAGCATGCTAGACTAGTAAGCAAAACACAAGGAGGGGAGGCTAACCCCTCCAATTTTGGACTTCAAACCATGATTTTAGCCACTAAAATAGCTCTGAAAATCAGTATTTAAAAGCTAAAAAAAGATAGTGCAAAGGTGGGAAACACAAGGGAAAAGGCCTTGAGAGCAAGGCCTCAACCTTTATTGGCCTTAAAACCCAAGTTTCAGCCCAAAAATATTTTGAAAATAACAAGAAAAAGAGTAAATAAAGCAAGTAAAGAGACAAGGCTTTATACTTTTGAAAAGGAAAACCAATTCCAAGCAATAAACCAAGGCAAACACACCCTCAAGATCTCAAACAAGGCTCAAAGATACCTCAGCTCAAATATAGAGAGGTTTGGCTAAGAGTGTATAGGTAAAAATAAAGAGTATATAGGCAAAGGTGTAGAAATTTGTAAGAGGGAGAGAGAGAATTGTAGAGAGAGAAGAAAAATTTTGCTCTAAAATTTTTCTAACCTTGAAAGCAAGAGGGGAGGTCCTCTACATATAAGACAAGAGTAAATCAAGAATCTAACCTCAATACGCGAATCTAATGGTTTGATCTCTAGGAATCAAGCTCGAAAGCCCACTCTCTCACTCTAAACTTCTTCTTCTTCTAGAGCTTCTCTCTCCTCACAAACAAAGACATATAGCAAAATGATACATTTCTAGGTCTGCTGGCTGACTTAACCCTCTACAGGGGCATGTGGCAGCGGCTGGTTGGTGCTACTTAGAGAGGTGGCTGAGTGACAAGACAAGACTATGACAAAGTGTGTTCAACAAGCAAGATGGCATGGGCACTTCGGTAGACAATGATCTCGGCTAAAAGCAAGGCATCGGCAAGTAAGGGAACAATGACCTCGGCTAGGAAGGACAACACTTGACTAAGCTGTGCCACACCTTGGCCTAGATGTGCCACACCTCGGTCTAGGTCATACCACTCCGGGACAAGATCACTTAGGTGGAAAGGTAACATCTCGGCCTAGATGATTCACACCTCGGCCTTGGTGATGAACACCTCGGCCTAGATAATGACATCTCGACCAATATGTCAAGTCGAAGGTAGAGGTCAAACAAAGTGGTTCCAAGATAATTCTAGACTGAAGACGACCTCGGCTAAACTCACACAAAGCAAGGTACAAAACATGCTGTAACACTTAAACGAACAAGGGCAAGACTTGAAACGCAAGCTTACAAGATAGAATCACATGAATGCATATGAGTATGGTTAGGATAGCGTGAGGGTTATTTCAACTTTTCCTCTCTTACATGTGATACGCTGAGCGGTATACCTTTCCTTCTCTGGCGTGTAATACACTGAGAAGTGTTGCCGTTTCCTTCTCTTGCATGTGATACGCTGAGAAGTGTTGCCCTTTCCTTCTCTTGCGTGTGATTCACTGAAAAATGTTGTTCTTTCCTCTCCTGCGTGTGACATGCTGAGAGATGTTGCTTTTCCCTCTCCCGCGTGTGATACGTTAAGAGATGTTGTGTTTGAGACTCTGGGTATTCTCGATAGTCGCTTTTAGCCTTCTCTGCGTGAGATGCAGTGAGAATTGCATAATTTTCTTACATCCTTTCTGCTGGAATGTGTGGGACTATTCTTTCTTACTCGCTTGCTTAAACTATTGCATTTATTTTGCATAATTGCTTCATCACAGCTCTCTTTGCATGATCATAAGTTATGATTCGGCATTGTGCAAGTCATTTGCATCTTGCCCCAGCCTGCGGGCACATCTCTTTGTTATCTTACCTGTTGGTCTAAGT